ATGTCAAATTCTTTTGACAACTCGCTTCTTTAAGTTTATGATCTCATTCATATCCGAACCTCGCTACTAGCATATCATCAACATAAAGTAGCAAAATGATATAACTCGGACTTATACCTCTTGAAGAAACAATGTTGATCGCCGTTGCACTTCGGAAACTCTCTTTGTGCATGAAGCTTTCGAACTTCTTATACCACTCGTCTTGGAGCTTGTTTCGTGCCATACAAGCTCTTTTTCAATCTCGCACACCAAGTTCTTCTTTCCTTCGAAAAACCTTCAGCTCGGTGCATGTAGATCTCCTCATCTAAATCTCCATGAAGAAATGCGGTCTTCACATCTAATTGCTCTAGGTAGAGCTCCTCACTAGCCACAATACTTAACACAAGTCCCGATAGTATTGAGCTTTACAACCGGAGCAAAGATTTCAGTGTAGTCGACTCCTTCTTTCTGCTGAAATCCTTTGACGACCGATCGAGCTTTGTATCTCTTAGAACCATCATGGTCTTCCTTCACTCGATACACCCATTTGTTGTGAAGTGCTTTCTTTCCCATAGGTAACTTGACTAGTTCCCATGTCCGATTTGAGATTAAAGACTTCATCTCGTCTTTCATGGCAAGCTCCCACTTGCTAGCATCCGTGGCTTGACAAGCTTCCGTATAATCTTCAGTGCTCCCTCCATCGACCAACAACATGTAGTCCATGTATCTCCCGTTAGGCACATGAGGCCGAGAAGACCTTCTCAATACAGGAGTTGGAGTAGGAGGTTCTCGCTTGCACATCAAGTTCTTCAACTCGATTCCTCCGGCCGAGGACTCCTCATTATAGGACTTTCTCGGAATATCTTCCACTTCGCATAAACCGGTCCACTCGCTTCCGAGTTGCCGGCACCTGTATTATGCCTGTCCTTGTACATCACTCTTTCATTGAAGATTACGTCTCCGTCGCGAATCATCTTTTTGTTTTCATCGTCCCATATGCGGTATCCAAACTCATCTTCACCATAACCAAGGAAAGTACATTTCTTTGATTTTGGATCAAGTTTGTTTCTGCCTTGATCACCGATATGCGCATATGCTACACGACCAAAAACTCTAAGATGTGAGAGTTTTACCTCTTTTCCGCTCCATACCTCTTCTCGGTATCTTGTGTTCCAATGGTACCGATGGACTTCGGCTGATCAAGTAAGCCGCCGTGTTGATCGCTTCGCCCAAAACCGCTTTGGTAAGCCTCGACCGCACACGCATGCTTCGGCCCTTTCAGATCAACGTTCGATTCATACGCTCGCCTACACCATTGTGTTGAGGCGTACCCGCACCGGCTCTCTCCATTCCGATTCCGTGCTCATAGCAAAACTTCTTGAATTTGGTGTCTACATATTCACCACCATTGTCGGATCCGAGCTTCTTAATCTTCAATCCTGTCTCATTTTCCACCATAGCTTTCCATATCTTGAAAGCTTCAAATACTTCGACTTATATTTCGGAAAGTAAACCCATACCTTTCCGGAGTGATCATCAATGAAAGTCACGAAGTAATGCTTCCCACCAACGGATGGGACAGTCGTTGGACCCCAAACATCGAGTGGATGAGCTCAAGCTTCTCTTTCTTTGGGGTTTTTTACTTGTTTGAAAGCCGACTCTCTTCGCTTTCCAAGTATGCAGCCTTCACACATGTCAATATCTACCGATCGAAGACCTGGTAATTTTCCTTTCGAGTGCATGACCTTCATTCCTTTCTCACTCATATGTCCAAGTCTTTGGTGCCATATGTTGGAATTTTCATTTGCTCGCAACCGCAATCAAATGACATGCTCCTCGCAGCCTTGTAGAGTTCCACTCTTTTTGCCTCGAGCAATCGTCATCGCACCTTTTGAGATCTTCCATTCATCACCATGGAAGATTGTCGTATAGCCTTCACTAGCTAACCGACTCTACCGAGATTAAGCTCTTTGTCGGTCTGGGAATATGTCCGACATTTTTCAATTCCCATACGAACCCATTCAGCCTTAATCCTTATCGCACCTTTGCCTACAATCTCACATGACTGTTCATTACCAAGGTAAACCTTACCAAGGTTTCCGGAACATAATTCTCCAACAGCTTCCTTCGTGAGGTAGCATGAAAAGAAGCTCCTGAGTCTAACACCCAAGACTCCTCCCCGCCTTCAAGAGAGCATATCAACGCCTCATCTTTTCCCGAGGTGGAGGCAACGTTTGCTTCGTCCTTTGCTCCTTGATTCTTCCGTGCACTCTTGCACCGGTTTCTGAAGTGTCCGGCCTTCCCACAATTCCAACACTCGATCGTTTTTGAGTTGTGGGAACTACGATGATTTCCGGACTTGGACCGCCTCGTCCTTTGATTTTCCATGTCCAATTTCTTTGGTTGAACTTCTTCCTCTTGACTCGTATGCACATCGAAGAGGTTGATGCTTCACCCGACTCTCTCCGCCGGATCTCTTCGCCGAGAACCAAATTTTGAACATCATTAAATCTTAACTTATTGTTTCCCGATGAGCTACTCACAGCCGTGACCGTAGCATTCCAACTCTCTGGTAGGGAAGACAAAAGTATTAAAGCCTCGTACTTCATCATCGAATTTGATGTCAATAGAACTCAACCGGGTTGTTACAGTTGTTGAGTTCATTGAGATGATTTGCCACCGAAGCACCTTCGGACATCCGCAGGTTGAACAATCGCCTCATCAAGTGAACTTTGTTTGAGGCCGATGGTTTCTCGTACATGTTGGAAAGAGCCTTCATGAGATCTCGAGGTCGTCTTTTCTTTCACAATGTTGAAAGCAACATTACGGGATAATGTTAGACGAATAACTCCAAGAGCCTCGTCTATCAAGGAGTCTCCATTCTTCCTCTTTCATGGTTTCCGGCTTCTCCCCGTGAGTGGTTGATGCATCTTCTTCCGATACGTATAATCCTCTATCTCGCATCTTCCGTAAGCCAAAGTCTCGTACTCGTCGAACCTTTCGATTTTCATTTTTCCTTCGTCTGCAGCCCATCACTCCAACTCCGATCCGACTTATCTGCTGGATCGTTTCGACAATTTCGTGAGCTACCATGTTTCGTAACACGATCGCGGCAAATTTGTAACGCCGACAAAATTTGCACTATTCACGTTTTCACTATTCACTGAATAGTAACTTACTATTCATATGAATAGTAACACCACAAAAATTACAGTAACTAACAACCAACTTCCGATACCAGCTTGTTGGGAAAAATATGCGAATCTTTCCATATGGTCAGATCTCGTGAAAGTGAAATAAAAGCTGGAATAATTGCACACACAAGTTGATAACTGAGTTCTGCCAATAATGCCTACGTCTCCGACTACTACAGCATCTCTTTCGTGAGAAAAGAAAATACACAAGTGTTTACAAAACACTCTCAAAACACTCACAACTCACAACCCAATTACACCTGAAGCTAAACTAAAACTCTCTAGTTTTTCTCGCCTCTCACCTGGTGCCACTCTTTCTTCTCTAAGAGAAGTAGTATTTTGTGTGGGATGGGATGAATTTGCTTGTAGGGAGAAGACCAATTTATAGCAAGAATTGGTACTGTGCATTATCATAAAATATGCCTCGTGGGCACCTCATGTTTGCATAAAATATTTTGGCAGCCACCCTTGCCCACTTCTTTGACCAATGGCAGCCACCCTTGCCCACTTTCTTTGACCAACACAGTGTTCATGATGTGATCGTTCATAACTTACAATAGTTTTTCTTTTCTATTTTTTTTAATAATTTTTTCGAAACACTATAGGGAGCAATTATAAAACACTAATGTAGAGCATATTAGACATGTTAAATGAGCAAGTTAATTTCGGGACAGTTTAATAATCTAATTCATAGTTTTGTTGAGAAGAAAGAATTGAAGGGAGAGAAAAAAATTGAAGAAGCTTTTAAAAACAGATAAAAGTAAAGAAAAGAATCTGTTTTGTTCTAAAAGCTAATTTTTCTCTCTTTGTTGTGAGTAGATTCATGGGTATATACGGTGTGAATGCGGAAGTATATTATTGTTTAAGTATATTGCTTATTTTAGGAGCGTGGACGTATTCTTCCTTAATATGGTATCATACGATGTGGGGCACGCTATCTAGTTTTTTATTATAAAGTTGAGCCCAGGTATCCGTACACTTAAGTACGCCACGTTATCTGACAACCTATTCCTCTCTCTAGTTAGTTTTCAGTAAACATAAGAATAATAAGTAAACAAAATAATAAGAAAACATATCTTTATATTTTCTATCATCTCTTTATCATCAATACTCATTTATTAAAAAACTTTCTTTAAACAAATTTAAATTATTATCTACTGTCTAACCAATAAATTTTTTTATAACAACTATGTTTATATATATTATACTAATTTTTACTCAGTTGATAACTTTCTTTTATACTTTACGTGAATGAAAATAAAACCTTGTTTTTAATCACATTTACGAATGATTCTTTTTATGCTGGAGACAATATGAAGTACAAAGATTTATCTGTTTCTGTCCAGGCACGAATCTTAAGATTTTTTCACAGGGCAAGAGAGAGAAACAGATAGGTGGCAGTGACATCAAACTTCCCAAGAAAAAAACTAAATTCTCTCGCAGGGTACATAGTTATTATTAGTATAGAGCCTCTGCGAGGAAAATCTCATCAACAACAAACCCTTTATACAAATTTCACCCCAAGAAATCCTCATGGGGGCAAAAGTTAGAGTCACATGATGACCGTCTAAAAACCCAGATGGGGCTGGCTGTTCAAAAGCAAAAGAAAAAAAGAATGGGACAAAAAGAACCAGATCGAGCGACTCGATCACGAGGAACACAATGCAAATATGGAGAAGTGAAGAGAGATCGATGGATGTTAAAAAAAGAGAAGCAAAAGAAGCTTCATCTTGACCACCTTCGATCTTTTTCCTGAAGCAATATTGAGCAGAACATAGAGAAGAAACGCTGGATGGAACCGGTCTTTATAATCGACAATTGTGCAGTTCATCGTAAAGTGGAAGTTAGAGAGCGGAAAACAACTTCTTGGCAGGGAATAGTGAGTCCCATATCGTGATCGAAGCCGAACTCTTCCTCAGCTTGACGAAGGAGGGACTGAAACTGGGGGTGAGTCAAAAAGGAGATGGGGACAATGTATCTACTTCTGTTTTCTCCAACGTAGACAGCGAAATGGCCTTTGGGGACATCGAGAGGAAGAGCATCATGGTCGTAGTCGTTTTTCTTTCCTAAGCTGGAACATCTCTTGAGGATTTGCTTGAGGACTGTGGTCTGAGAAGTCTTGTTTGATTTTCTAATGGCCATGTTTAGAGGGGGGAGAGAGAGAGAGAGAATTTTAAGTGGACGGTGATGAAAGTGGTAGTGTATGATGATGGAAGAAGGAGAGGGGTGTATTTATGAAGAGAAAGAGAGAGAAGAAGAGAAGAGTGGGGGCAAAGGGTAGGGCACGGGTGTTTTGGGGTATGTGTATTTGTGTAAGGACATGGTGGGAACCAAACCACTACCCTTCACTGTTCTATGTTGGTCCTCCCAATGCCAACGTGGACATGGACCCTATCTCCATTACATTATAACACCCTAATCCACAACAACACATTCATTCACCTTAGAACAACCTCAAATGGAATTTATATTTTAAGTCTAGCAATTAAATATCATCTACTTGTCTGGCATTTTTTCAAAGGTTTCGTTTCACCTATTTTTTTTTTAATTTAATTTGACCAAAATAATATTTTCTAGCACGGTCTTTAAAAATAACATTAAACTTACTTATTGAGTTGGTGGAAAAAAAAAGAGTTAAGAGTTTAAATATCACATTTTTTCACTTTTTTTTTCTTACCAATATTATCATGGTTTAACTGAACCGAGAAATTTTGAAATAAAGTTTCTACTAGGAGTAAAAGTCCAATAAAAATGATCATATATTTTTTTTATAACAATTAACTCTTCAATAAAATTATTTTTATTTTATTTTGTTCTCCTTTTATATATATTTTATAATATAATATTATTTGTGCGGCTTATGTTTGACACCTAACCTCACCGACCCTTACCACTTTGGGGATATGATCAGTGGCTATTTTAGTTACAACAGGGTGATAAATTTTATTTTATTTGTGCTATCCCCACAAACACACAAAAATCAAGACATGCCACCGTTGTTTATTGAGTAATGTGATCTTTACATAAATTTTCCTAACAAATTATACTAGGGAAGAGATTAAGACAAACAATTAAATAATAACGTGATAAGGACAAATGAAAAAAATAAAGAAAGAAAATAGGTGACATAGTGACAATATAAAATATTTTTTCAGCGTCATCATGCACAAATTATTATACATTTGTTTTGACATTAAATAACTATTAATTTTAAAAAAATATTATATACATTACTCTGCCCTTATAAGGTTTAGGAATTAATGCATAATGGTATACAATGTGAGCATGATATCCACCTGAATTCATGGACCTACAGGTACTCTTGGGTACAACCTGGTGATGGAATTGATTTGGCTTTTCTGATTGCTGGTTTTGTTTTGTGATACTGCGAGCTCATGAATGACACGTGAAATCAGCTTCAATCAGACATTACACTCCATGCAAACAAAACCAACTTTGCAGAACCCCATGTGTTGCTAATTACTCCTACTTTCTAGGTTTTCAACCAAGTATGCATCGTTAACTTATCTTCAAATAGAATAATTACCACTTCATCGCAAATTGTTCATGCCATTAGACTCACATCATTGATCTTTTGCATTACCATTTCATCGCATTCATAACTCTGCTGGCTTCCGTCTTGTTTTTCCTGCAAAAAATAATTGAACGTCCCACTTTCATAAACATGTCTGTATCATGTTGAACTCAACACATGTTCATTATCATACCAAAATTTCATCTGCATGAACATAAGGATAAACCTCAACCGGAATAGACCGTGACAGCACAGGATCAACACATGGAGTTTGTATCGATTTTCACCTGACAAGAAAGAAAATTATGATGCACTAATCAGAAATATTTGTCTGAAACCTAAAAAACTTTTATATATACATATAAGTGACATTTATCTCATAATAACGATATCAACTTCAGTTATTGAGAGGGGAGCAGCTTATTAGTTTTGTTTTATTCCATTTATTATCGAGAAAATGCTTCACCACCTTTCAATTGCACGAATAATGGAATAAGAATGTGACTATTATATAGCAATGTATTTGGCTAGTGATTGCACATGTCTATATTGTGATTATTTAAAGGTTGGATGAAGAGAAAAGTGTGACAAAACAAGCTAAGCTGTCGTGTAAGTTTTGAATATGTATTATGAACATGGATTTTGAGAGGTCATGCTCAACGTGGTTGGTTGCGTGGATGGTTCTTTTCTTTGGAAGACATTGATATTAATTGCTTCAGTGGAAAACCAAAAAAGGGATAAGATCAAAGTGTATAACAAATGTGGTAATTAAAGCTATTTCTTGCTTGTCAATTTCTCAACCTACATATCACTACTTCAATGTTTGCTACTACAAATGAGTGTCTCAATACTGCATGCTTTCCCATGTGGTCCTGCCTAAAACAACCAGCACTATATACAAAAATTATAACCAGACACAAATTTATATCATATGTATACCATAATATATTGGTCTTGCCCTGCCTTCGTTCTTGCTCCTTTTTACCACGTTTCCAAGGCTGAAAAAGTTATCTTCGAAAGCTAAGTGACTCGTATACGGCAGTGTCCTGAATTTTCTGTGATCTGTCCTCAACTTTTGTTTTTCTCAATGCCAACCAATGATAATGTTAGGATCACACACCATTTTACAGGGACAAATTCTAACCACCTTTAAATTTATTAAAACTAGTACAAAATAGTTAAACCATATACTCCGATAAATTCATGCGTGATTCAACTGCATTAATTATTAGTTCTCATTTTCACCTAGAGATAGAGATAGAGATAGAGGAGATTAAAGTGAGATTTTAAGGAATGTGGAGTTCATGCAATATTTCCCTATTATCTATGGATACTAGTTTAGTGGATGTCACCTTCCTTGCACAGACTTCATGTTCTGTGAATGAGATTAATTGGAGAAAAATGGGAAAGATTGAAAACCTCATCAATTTTCACCGAAGTATGTGCTGAGCAAAGTAATTCAGCACAAGGGATATTTTTTAAGTTGATAGAGACTTTACCTTTCATTTGGCACATGAAAGCCATGTTACTCTTGGACCCAAAATTCTCTTGTCAAAACAACCCAGTGAGGTAATTTTAATCTTTACAATCCCTCTGTACCCCGGGTATTAATATACAAAGATGAACACATGTTATACTGTATCATAAAAAAAGATAGAACTCTAAGTTTTAGTTAAGAAGATTATAAGCCATTAAGATACTATTTTGTAAGATTATGACTGTAATTAAAATGTTAATTTGACAACCAGAAAATGAACTATTTCTTGAAAATTATTCTTCTGCAACAAATTATTTGCAGTATTATATAATGACAAATTGTGGGTATGATATATTTAAATGTGAAATGGGTGTCTCCAATCTCAGTGAAGGCAATAAACTTCCTCTGAAATTTGGATGGTGATTGGAACCAAGCATGTGCTCTTGCAACCTTCTGCGAGATTGTACGATATACATATTGTCCCAAATATATTCGTCCCTTGATGTACCAAAAATAATTAATTGCCTAAAGAAATCTTTAAAATTTGAGATTGATATGCTTTTAAATCTTTCAGATGAAATACATGTTATGTTATTAATGCTAAGGGATGGCGTCACCATTTTCTTTTCTGTATCCATTCGATTGGAAAAGACAGTAGGGTTTTGGATAAAAGAAAGATGTGGATAAAATTGATTATTCTTGTTTTGTGTAAAGGCCAATTATTTTATAAAGTAGAGATTGATATCGTAAAGATGGAACTGCTTTCATTTGCTCACCAACATGGCAACCACTTCAACTCTTGTGTTTATCTCACGTCCCTTTAAGATGGTCCCCCATGGATGTACATTACGTACACGTCATTTTAGGTTATAATCTTTTATGAGCAATTTTAAGACTTCAATAATATTGTTTAAATATTAATTACTTTTTAGTTAACCACATATATCTTTTGTGATATTAAATTTTATCTACTTTACTCATCAATTATTCTGCTTCTTCTTTTGACTTCTATATTTTCATTTACTACTTTATAAAGTTGGAAAATTTATACTCAAATATGAAATTTCATTAAAAAAATTTAAATAATTTATCAAATTCTAATTTTATCCATTTTGTTCAAGTTTCATTTTCTCTTTTTTCTAATATTTTTGTTTCACAATTGGAGAAGATGGAATGGAACTGGAAAGAAGATGTGGGCTAATGATCGAGGTTGGAGCATGACCATGTTTTACTGTGTAGTTGGGTTGGGCTAGAATTCTCTTCATTCTCTTCACATTCGGTTCGTAAATATTGTTTAAGAAGATTAATATACAACATTTTATAGTGATAGTGTATAAAATTTAAACTCTTAATTTATATGACAAAATATTAGTTTTTTTTTCTCTTTTAATTTCCCTTTAGAAATCACCCTATACTTGTTTTGACATAATTTATTAAATATAAAAAACTATCTAAATGAAATTTAGAATTTATTTTTGGCATGTTTTTGCTCGTGATTTTGTCATCTAACAGATGATACAATATTTTCGCGGTGAAGAAAAACCTAATTTGGTTTATTAACAAAATATTTTCGTAATTTAATATATTAATGTATCACTTCATCGATGTTTACATATCCATATTAATAATAATGCATCTAAAAGTATTTGTTTATATCAATATCGTCTAAAGAGGATGTATAATATAAACACACTCTTTGCAAAAATATTTTAAAATACAAATTATTTTCTTTATACACATTCTCACTAAAATCAATCATACTAAATCGATTATGGTAAAATAAATTTTACATAGTCTGGTATAAACACATTATTAAAAGAGTTGAAGGTTTTTGGGCATGCTTTATTGTGAATAGCTGGCCCTTACAGAAATAGTTTTTTCAAAACTTCCCTGTGGGAGCAATACTTTGTTGTTGTGACTTGTGATGATGGGCGTCTTCAGAATTTGCAGTAGAGACCCGTCATCAAAATAGATCATTTTCGCACCAATCTTCTGTGCAGCCTACAATATAGAACTTCAACCAATTTTGTGTGCAGTTCAGATCCAACCAAATCACAACCATTGATTGTTTATTGCACTGTACTTAAGCAAGAGAAAATATCATCAATGGTTTAGATTTGAATCCTGTGTCTTCCTCTCTGCTTGTTAGATGGTACAGCAACTAGAGAGGAACCATTCAACTAGTCAGTCACCTGAACCCAACTGCATCCAACATCTTTTCTCAGCCCTCTTGCTTTGATCAATACCCTCAAATGTCCAATTTCCTCCCACATGCCAAACCGGGCATACAGATTTGATAGCATAATGCATATCCCAACATTTTGAGGATCTAACTCAAGAGCCCTCTGAGCTGCCAATTTTCCCAGGTCTAAATCCCCACGATCCACGCAAGCACTGAGTAGAGCTCCCCACATTGAAACAGTACAATTTCCCATTCCCTTATAGAGTGTCTCATTCAGCAATTCCCACGCCCTCTGCAATTCACCAGCCCTACAAAGTAAATCAACCAGGCAGCTGTAATGTTCTGGACCAGGATCTAACTTGAAATCATTAGCCATTGATTCAAAATACTTGACTCCAGCATGAACTTGGCCAGTGCGACCACAAGCAGATATCACTGTCAAGAATGCTATTCCATCCGGCAGGATTCCTTCCACCAACATGTCGTTGTACAAATCAATCACTTCCTTGTAATGCCCATTCCTACCGTACACACCAAGCATTGAAGTCCATAACACAATGTCCCTGCTTCTTACTTCTTTCCTAATCTCCATACCGACCAACTTGAACACTTGCAAAGCCTTCTTTACTAATCCACACTTGCCATACATTTCAATCAACGCGCTCTGAATAAACACATCACTCTCCACATCAGGTGTCGTACGGAGCAAGTAACCATGCACTTGCCTACCCATTTCAACAGCAGACAATCCAGTGCATGCACGCAAAGCTGCTGATAGAGTAAAGTGATCATGCTTCAATTTCATCGCGTGCATCTTCCTAACAAGTCCAAGTTCCTGAGCCCAAAGCCCTGCTTCGCCATAACCTGACAAAAGTGCATTGGCACACACAGTGTTCTTCTCAGGAATTTCATCGAACATAAGGGCTGCATCCTGTACATTCGACAATTTGGAGTACAAATCAATGAGAGCACTACCCACAAACACACTAGAAGACCAACCTGATTTTCCCACGTGGGTATGTATCTGCTTCCCAAAATTAAGGTCTTTGACTTTGGATGAGGCGGTCAACATGCTACACAAAGCGTAGGTGTCTAAGGGGACACCGTTGGTGTGCATGAAGGAGAAGGAGGCGATAGCAAGAAAGGGGAAACCTTTGCGACAGAAATCAGAGAGTATGGCGTTGAAGTGTAATGGGTTGGTGGAGGTCATGCATTTGAAGAAGTTTTTGAGTAAGTGAAAGTTGGAGTTAGGGAGGCATGCAGCATATGTGGCAATAATTTGGGTGTGGAGATGATGGGAGAGGAAGAGCATGCCTGTTCTGAGTAGCTGAGCGTGGAGTTTCTTAATGGCTGAGACATTGCCACTCACACGAGATTGCTGCAAAAACTCAAATACGTTGGGCTTAGACATGCAATAAGAAAATGAAAATGAAAATGAAAATGAAAATGGAATCAAGCAGAGTTGTGCTCGTTAAATGTTGATGATTACAAGAGATTTAGGGTGCGTAAATGCTATGCCTCAATCAACCTTTATCTGAAAATGAAAATCATTGGATACAGTGTCTTTGAGAGCAAGAGAGGATGAGTGAAAATGAAATCAAGAGAGATGTAGGATAAAGAAAATAAATAAACAAGATGGAAACTAGATACAATGCAGAAATTATTACAAAATTCAGGACTAACTCGTCAACTATGATTCTGACGAAATATAGCACGACACATAAAATTAATATTCAAACTACTATGAAATTTAAAACCATTATTGTGATCGTTATGGTATGACATTAGTGGGTTCAAGTTTATGCCCCAAAAAGAGATGAATTTTCAATATGCTGGTTTCAGCAGCCCAGTTTGAATTTTCAATATGCTGGTACAAACCCAAAGCCCACAAATCCTAAATTGGGATTCTATATCTTTTCCACACTAGTAGGGTGCAATAAGCATCACGCTCCTAAGCCTCGTGAGACACCATCCTTTACTAAAGGTCAAAATAATGGCAACCCTAAACACATAATTGAATTTACTAAATATTTTTTATGGAATGAAGCAAGAATTCAACAATTCATTAATTCAAAAAGAATATTTAGGGATCTCAAAATAAATTTAACACGATATCTCAGAATAAAAAAAATATGTCATGTTAGATTAAATAGTTATATCTGAATCTATTTAGATTATAACTTATATATATTTAGGTTAGGTTAGTTAATAAACTTATAAATAATTCTATTTTATAAATAATAATTATTTTTAAATAAAAATAAAAATAACATTATCATATTAAAATATATATATATATATATATTTTAAATTAAATTGATAAATTTGTACTAATTGTTAGAGTAAACATCAGAACAAATTTTTAATAATTACTTATTTCAAGAATTAATTATTAATATTAATTATTATTTTAAATTAATAAATTACTAAAAATAAATAATAATAATAAAAAATAAGTTTTTGATTTTTATACTAAGATTAAATGAATGCATTCTCTTATAATTTATATATTAAATTATTATATTTTAAATAAAAAACTAATTTATTTAATAAAATTCAAATTTTCAAAATATTTTTTTTATTTTTTATTTTTATTTAAATAATTTTTTAAATAATTGATTTTGTATAGTATAAATATGTTAATATATATTTTTTAAAATTCAATCAAACCAAAATTAACCTCTTAACATGTTGATCTAATACATTATTAGACTAGAACTAAATTTATTGACCTATTTTAAAATATAAGCTAAATTGAACGATCTATATTTTTTATTTGACCTGCAAGTAAGAATAGACTGGACTCATTGGCCACTCTCACGGCTCTAAAAATATCACGAGAGAAAATGATCTCAACGTTTAATTCAATCAAATACATATGAATAGGAAAACCCTAGTGATCTAAAATGTCTACTGCAAGAAATAACAAAATACCAAAAAAATCTAAATGAAGTTGCAAAAATACCCTAAAATTACTATAACAGGAGAAAAATGTACGTCTTCTAAACCTCTCAACGATGAACTTTGACTAAAATTATGCGATGTGTATGATTGAGTCCATTTTCATATGAAAAATTGTACCCGTTTATAATGAATGAACTTTCTGTGTAAACTTTCCACTACATCATTAATCTTCTTACTTACTAATGAAGAGGGGAATGATTGCTATATTTTAACGTATTGAATATATATATATATATATATATATATATATATATATATATATATATATATATATATATTTAATATTTACTTTGTAGAACATTAAATCAAAAGAAGACTTTGGAAGAAGATATATAATTACTCTACCACACTTTTTGAGGACTATAACAATGCATTGGGCTGACACAGGAAATTAAAATATTAAACAGGCAATTCAGTTCGTCATGACATGATACGGCTGCTATACTGAAAAGTTTAATTACTTAAGAGAGTCGTTCATATATCCTGTTTAAGAAAACAAATTTGAAACAGGTTGGATTTGATAGATAGAATATTTAATATTCCTTAATCACTTGATTCACTTCGACTGCTTCAGTAGTGTTTTGGTTGAATCATTCATGTAAATATATATTCCAAATAGTCTTAGCTTTTTAACCTAAAAGAATTCTAGAAGCCGTACTTAAACATCCTTATAAGGCTACCTAGATAATTCTGAGTAGTGAAAGTTAGGCTTCAAATTCACAGAAAGAGACGAAAAGAAAGAGGGGGAAAACAATATACAACAAGGAATATATATAGCAATGTTTTTCATCCATTTATAATGTTATTTATTTGCCTATGATACATTTGAAAGATAACATTAAAATCCAATTACACATTAAACCTTTCTGCATGGGTCAAATCTTCTTAATCCCACTTCGAAAGGCAAAAACTATGCAACAAAAACTGTGTGCAGATTTACTTTGGCTGCATCATGTCATAGCCTACGTAAGCCAGAGGTGATGTTAACAAAAATGTCTTCTGTGCATGGAATAGTAAGACCACCCATTGGATGAGTGAAGCCAAATTCTTCTTCGGCTATGCTCAACAGTTGTTGAAATGATGGTTGATTCAACAATGACACTGGAATCACATATCTCTTCTTATCACCCTCTCCTACATACACAGCAAAGTACCCTTTAGGCACATCTAGTGATGTTGTAGCTGCCTGATTTGTAAACAGATTACATCGGAGACGAATGTGTTTGGCTCTCAAGGCACTTGGAAAACGAATAGCCATGATAGTAGAATTATTGTTTAGAGCTTGCAAGAGTTGGTTATTACTTTTCCGAATTGGGTTGGTGGAAAATGCCTAGTATCTACTGTATGTTTATAGATGAAAGCATAAGGAGGAATCAGAGGGGAAATTAATGAGTGTGGGACATGCATCCAAAAGATCACGCGGCGTGTACTAAATGTAATTGGCATGAAAGGCGTTGATGACCCCTCATTTCTTATATTTATTGCAGAAGCAGACGATTTCCGAGAAAACACCTACAGGTGGCTTAGCAAATTGATTTAACATAGATAGAATAGTTTCTGGTCAGTTTTGAGAGGGACTTGAGAAAGAGGATAGAATTCACTATTCAATTCTTGTTTTGGTCGGTGACAGAGTTCAACTTTTACAGTAACGATTCAAGACTGTTTATCTATTTTTTTCTTCTTAAAAGTTTATTAATAATGATTTTTTTATCTGTTAATAATGTAACTTTTCTTCATATCAAATCCTGGCTGAACTGTAAACTCTAAGTTAATACAATAACTTCATTATTTCTGTCATTTTTTTCAACATATATATCATCTATTATAGTTTTTTTATTTTTTATTTTTTTCTCTCTTATGTCTCTTTCCTTTTCTTGTTCTAGGTATCAAGAAGACTCTAAATGTTCACAAATAATTTTTCTTTGAACACGGGTGCGTCTACTGTTTGTTGACAAGATGATGTAAGTGCAATTCCTACCATTCTTTTGTACGGTTGAAATCTCAGTGGCTAGATTGGATCCACATTTCACCTCAAATTGACAAATATCATCTGATTATTAGCTGTGCAATTGCATATACTGATTGTACCAAGTCATAAACACATAATGGAAGTTCACATATTAGAGGGTAAACACCACTATGCTTGGCAAAAGATATAATTGGGCCAGTGACCAAATTTGATTAGAATTCAAATTTCTGCTCAAATACCATTTGAATATTCGATTGTACTGTTCCAATTAGATTGAAAGTCTACGGGTTTGAATTCCATGATCAATTATTTCCTTGTCAACTTTCGGAGGCTAGCTGAATTCAAATTAAATTCAAACTGCTTTTAGACTTCGATTTATTGGAGCCAATTGACTGATGTATATATATGGCTTCCCTTTTCTTCCTATATCTCATACTTATGTCCTTTTTTTCTGACAAAACCCTAAAATACTACTTGTTCTGGTCAGGTCACAGATGTCGATAAAAAGTATTCTGAACCACATATAGAGGAACTTGGCAATACCGTAAATCCATTGACTGTTTTGTCTATTTGGACCAAATGTAGTTACAAATATGCTTTTTTAATGGAATTTGGACAAAGAGGATTATTAACGAGAAGGACCACTAACAATAAAAAATGGGAAGAAACCCATGAAGAATTTCGAATATCATTAATTGGTGTTACAGAAAATGCTTCATGACATTATTAATTAATTAGGGATGTTAGTTAGTTGTTAATTACACCTCAACAAGTTCTGTAAACACATGCAGCTCAAATTCCCTCTGATATATATCTTTTATAGATTTATATAATGGGAATCTTTCATTCTTTGAACTCCAAGACGTGTTCCATATCAACTTGTGTTATTCGTATCTCTTGGAAGTTATGATAGAATATATTTTGGGTCTTTGACCATTAATTTTTGCTGTGTGCTTTGTTGATAGGAGAGGAAGCTTCCCCGATCCTACTTGGTTTATTTGTGTGGTGTGGACAGCTGTACTGTGATAGTACTGTCTAGTGCTTCGTAATATAATCATTATTTCATCAATAATTAAATTAAAATCTATTTTTCACATTTTAATTCATCATCCAGATTAGTAACCAGATTATTATCCTGAGCAGTGAAACACACAGAAAGAACCGAAAGAGAGGGTAAGGAAATTGTAGAGAACATGGAATATAGTCAAGTTTGTGATCCATTCTTTTTGTACTGATGTTCTTTGCCTATGATACAATTAATTGCATATTTGAAACCTTTCTGCATGGGTAAACTTTTCTCACACCACATGTTGAAAGGCAAAAAAGGCAAAAAACATGAAGCAAAAACTGTCTTAAAATATACTTGGCCTGCATGTCATAGCCTATGTAAGCCAGAGGTGATGTTGAGGAAAAATTCTTCTGTGCAGGGAATAATGAGGCCACCCATTGGATGACTGAAGCCAAATTCTTCCTCTGCTATACTCAGCAGTTCTTGAAATGAAGGCTTGTTCAAATACGAAACCGGTATCACGAATCTCTTCTTTTCACCCTCTCCCACGTACACAGCAAAGTGCCCTTTAGGCACAGGCACATCCGGTGAAGTTGCAGCTGCGTGATTTGGAAACAGATTAGATCGGCGAAGAATATGTTTAGCACTCAAAACAGTGGGCAAACGAATCGCCATTTGTAGTGTATTGGTTAGAAGTTGGAAGAGGTTCGTGTGTTTGGCAGTTGAGTTGTGTGGAGAAAGCGTGGATATGGTTTGTATTTATAGACGAATGCGTGAGGATGAATGAGTGGAGAGAGTAGACATATGGTATATTAATTGGTGTGGGACATTCGCATTGAAAAGAACGCGCAGCGTGTACTCAAAGCTTATTGGCCAAAACGTGTTGATGAACTTCACTGCTTATCTGACCAAGGGATCATGTCTTAGAGAACACATGTAAATGACTCACAAATTCATTATTAAAACATACATCATATAAATGCAAGTTCTACCTCTTTGTACGGTGGAGATGCAATTGGTTAGATTAGATCCACATTTCTCTTCAAATATCATCTTATGATTTTGGACTCATCTAGTGTTGATGCAAGTCCAATGGTTGAAAGGTGAACGCCATGATAAAATGATAACGTGAATCTATTTTTTCTTGACATGATGTGTGGGTGGGTCAGAAGTCAAATTTTAATTAAATTTGGGTATATTATGAACAGCTATTCTGTACGATGGAAGTGTATTTGGTTAATAAATTTCAAATAGGCCTCAGAAAGCATCTGGGAGTATTGGCCGTGCAAAACATGTACTGATTTATACTCATCTGATCAGAATGCAAGTCCACACTGATTTCAATTCCTTGATCGATATTTCCCAGTCGCCATCAAAACTAAAGTTCGTAGAAAAATTAATATTTTTATTTATTTATATATTTTATTTATTTATAACTTCTCTCTCATTATCCTATTTATTGATCTAGAGGCGGATACTCCAACCACTAAGTTATTAGGATTTTTTGATAATAACTTATACGTAAATTATATTTATATACAAATAAAAATGTATATTCATGTAAATATATAAATATAAAATATATAAATACAAATACAAATATATTTATGTATTTATATGTTGGATGTGAGGGTGCGCTCGAGGACGAAAGTGTGTGTCGAGTGAATTTTCAAAATTTGATGTCAAATTTGTGAGCGAGTCTCTTTATATGGATTATAACTTAATGACAAAAATATAATCTTTGTAATTTATTTATATAATGATATAAAATAATTTTTTTCTTTATTTTATATCATTATATAAATTAATTATAAAGATTATATTCTATATCATTATAAATAAATTATAAAGATTATATTCTATCATTAAATTACAAATTCATATAAACAGACTCACTCACAAATTTGACATTAAATTTTGAAAACCCACTTGACATACACTTTCACTCTCGAGCGCACTCTCACATCCAACATATAAATATATTTGTATTTGTATTTATATATTTTATATTTATATATTTACATGGATATACATTTTTATTTATATATAAATATAATTTATTTATAAGTTATTATCGAGAAAATCTTAGTAGTTTAGTAGTTGTATTAATCTTTAATTTTAAGGTACTTGGTTCGAATCTTGTCAATAAAAATTCTTTTAATTTTATAAAAAAACTTTCTACGTCGGTTCATCCTGGAAACGATGTAGAAAAAAAGTAATTTCTGTACTAGTGATATTTTATTACAAAAAAGTTTAACATTAACCCATTAAAAATATAATCAGTAATTTCATGAGATGGTACTGTATTTGCCGGTTCTTTTGGGAAGCGATGTAGAAAAAAAGTAATTTGTACTAGTGACATTTTATTACAAAAAAAAAGTTTAACATTAACCCATTAAAAATATAATCAGTAATTTCATGAGATGGTATTGTACTTGCCCTGTTACTTTTTGTTAGGATTTGTATAATATTCTTTTATATTTCAGTGTTTAATTTTAAAGATTTTAATTATATTTTAACCAACATATAAACTTAGAGGGGTTATAGGATGCTTTAAATTGTTTTATTATGCTCGTAAATATATATATATATATATATATATATATATAAATCGAATAATCAAATTTGATTCAAATTTAATACCAATACATTTAAATCAAAATCAAAATCCAAATCTAAACCGAATCACAATTCATTTCCATGAACAGTATTAAGATTAGATTAATTATAAGTCCAACAACAATCTATAATAATAGACCCATGTGGCCATTATAGAACAGCTAAAAATAATATAACAAAATAGTAAGACATATAACGTCAATTTGATCACTTAGAAGATTAGGGTCTCTTAACTTACATATATTGTGAGTTGTAGCAAGTCATGGCATAGCCCTTTTAACCCATATGCCCCCATCTCAATTGCTTTTGCCGGTTGGTGAAGGATTCGAAGAGTCCATCACTGTCTATTCAAGCTTTTAGCCACGTGATGTTACTGGCATACGAGAGAAAATGGGACGAAACTCCATAAGAATATACTTGGATGTGTTGTATAATTGTTATTTGGAGGTAAAAGAAAAAAGAAAGAAAAAAATCTATTTGGCAAATTAATGACGAGACAGTTTCGTATGTTAATTAGTGCAAATTGTTTTCGTAACAAACAGGAATTCTCTTAAATTAGAAGGTATTTTCCACATTTTAATTCAATATTGGACTAGTTTATATAAACACGAAAAAGATATAGCATGCCTAGTGTGTTGATTTGGATTAGTTTGTTACTCTACTGCATTTTTTTTCCTGACAATGACAACAATGTCACAAACTATACTCGTGAAGAGTACAAGTAGTTTATCTTAATTTACGAACACTAAAACCAAAAGAACAATATTATTGAGATAAAATATATTTAAAGGAAAATAATTTAGATATAATATTCATACATGAAGAAAGTGAAAGAGAAAGAAATAACAACCAACATGGAACATATATAGTAATGTTTTGAATGCATTTTTTAAGTAACGTTATTTGCCTAGGGTACGGTTGCAATGCAGTCTCAAAATCCAATAGCATAGAAAACCTTTCTGCATGGGTATGAAGTCCATGTGGAAAAGCAAAAACCATAAAACAGGAACTGTCTTCAGATTTACTTTTACTGCATGTCATGGCAGACGAAAGGCAGAGGTGATGTTGAGGAAAATGTCTTCAGTGCATGGGATAGTAAGGCCACCCATTGGATGAATGAAGCCAAATTCTTCCTCAGCTATACTTAACAGCTGCTGAAATGAGGGTTGATTCAACAACGACACTGGTATCACAAATCTCTTCTTTTTACCCTCTCCTACATACACAGCAAAGTGCCCTTTAGGCACATCCTGTGATGTTGGAGCTGCATGATTCGCAAGCGCATTAGATCGACGAAGAATGTGTTTTGCACTCAAAACACAAGGCAAACGAATAGCCATTACAGTAGTAGTACTGGTTAGAATTTGGAAATGATTATTGTTTTTCACAATTTGGTTGGTGAAAGTTTATGATATATGCTTCTTTATTTATAGACGAAAGCGTGAGGAAGAATCAGTGCTGAAAGTAGACACTAATGTGGGACACATATATTCAAAAGATCACGCAGTGTGTTCTCAAACTTAGGGGCAAAAAGGTGTTCATGACCTTTACTGCTTATTTATTGAAGAGGTATAGATAATTTTTTAGAAAACAAAATAACTTATTTCAACACACAAGATATAAATGCAAGTTTCTACCACTTAGTGGTGTGGAGTTTTAATTGGTTAGGTTAGATCCACATACATAATATATACTTATATATCTGTACTCATTTAATAAAAGTACACCGATTGGAAGGTGAACCCCATTGATTTACTCATAATGGGAGTCTACTGTTTGTTGATAAGATGGTATAAATAGGGCATGGATGAGATTTGATTAAATGATCCAAGTATTTGGGTGTAGTATCAACCACTCTGTTGTACGATGGAAATCTGTAATTGGTTAGATCCACATTTCCACCCAAAAACCATCTGGTTATCTGCCGTGCAACACATGTACTGATTATATACTGATCTAATCAGAATTCAAGTCCACTAATTCGACTTCCGTGATGAATTATTTCCTTGTCACCATCAAAACCTTAGCTAGATTCAAATTAAATTCACATGGCTGTGTTAGTCTAGAATTTTTTGGAAACAATTGACTGAATATTTGTGCCAAATAATATAATGGGAGAGGAAGACCCCCGTTTTTGTCCATAAAATTTTGTTGCAAGAACTTTAAAAAATTAGGTTTGTGAATTATTACATGTTACTTATTTTTATTCACTATGAATTTTTGTATTTGTACTTACACTCCAACAGTTTTATGCAAGTATTGTTCAAAAAGGAGTCAAGATAAGATTAATGCAGAGACGAATATAGGAGGAGGAAGGTGTCAATCTCCGATCACGTTGACCCCACTGGAGATGGTTTAGGACATGGGGACTGTTATTATAAGTTGACATGGATAATGATAGTTATCATTCTAAATAATTTATATAGATATATAATGATGAGAAACAATGAAAATGAAAAAAATCCACGATTCAATGAAGTGGCATAGTTTGGTAATATAAGCATGGAGGTTTAGCAAAGTGTAAACAACCTAATTGTCAACGGGATATTTTATGAGGAAGGAGAAAATTACGTAAAAGTTTCACGTTGCAAGAACAAGCAAATAGAAAGTGGGAAGTGGAGTTGCTCTTCAAGAGAAGATTAGACGTGAAGCAAGTTTTAAGGACACTAAAGCAATAAATTGAAAAGGATAATTTGGGATGCACGAAAAAATGAGCCAAAGATCTTCATAGAGAATAATGAAAGAGGCTAAGAAATTGGTTGAAGGGAGTGAGAAGCAACAGATGGGTGCAGATACTTTTCAAAGTCTTGATCTAAGCTTAAGTTGCAATCTTTTTTTATTTACACCCTCCTCATCTCCAACATTTACTATTTTTAGAAAAAACTACAATTTTCATTTGAAAAAAGCTGCCACCGTCTCATTCGTTTTGCATATTGGCGAAGAATGGAATATAACACCATCTATTCAGTGTATACCCACGTGATGCATCTGTGTCTACTGCTGGGCTTCTTGCCCCTATTATCAAGAATTAAATTACTATTCAGAAGGAATTGAATAGTTTAGCTTGCACTCAAAAATTGAATTGCTCCTTTACAATTCCTATACTTGAAGAAAAAGCATAGTATACCTTGGTGTGTTTTACAGAGATGGAAATTGAGATTTCATCAGTTGGATTTTGGTAGTACTGTTAGACAATTGTACGTGAAAAAAAAAGTTTATCAGATATATAGTATTATCAGATGATGTTATATAACATATTATACGTATCAGTTATAGGTTTGCACACATTAAAATGTTATATTAAGCTATTTAAATAAGCGAAATAATGAAGCTCTTAATTGAATGTATCGTAAATAATAGATTATAACCAACTAAAAAGTGGGACATAATTGGCCAATAGGTAATTTGATCCTATATCAAATATAAATTCTATCAGCTATACTCCGAAATCCAGGTTAGTACCTAGATAATTATCAGCCGGAAAAGATATACAGGCTTCAAGTTTAGCCAGAAATCGAACCAAGAGAAGATGGGGGAAAACAATGAACAACATAGAGTATAGTCATGTTTTCCAATGTGTTTTTGTCAATGCAATTTGATCCGAAAATCCAATTGCATATATAGTAAACCTTTCTACCTTCCTAAATGGTTAAACTTTTCTCAAGTCCATGTCGAAAGGCAAAAACCGTGAGACAAAAACAGTCATAGTCAGATTGATTTTGGCTGCATGTCATCATAGCCTATGTAATGCAGAGGTGATGTTAAGGAAAATGTCTTCTGTGCATGGAATAGTAAGGCCTCCCATTGGATGAGTGAAGCCAAATTCTTCCTCCGCTATACTTAGAAGTTCTTGAAATGAAGGCTGATTCAAGTATGACACTGGTATCACAAATCTCTTCTTTTCACCCTCTCCTACGTACACAGCAAAGTGGCCTTTAGGGACAGCCACTGATGTTGCAGCTGCATGATTTGCAAAAAGATTTGATCGGCGAAGAATGTGTTTAGCACTCAAAACGCTACCCAAACGAATAGCCATCAAGGTAGAGTTAATTGGTTAAAAGTTGGAAGAGGTTATTGTGTTTCACAATTGAGTTGTGTGAAAAAGGTTCAGGATGTTATGTGTATTTATAGATGAAAGCGTGAAGAAGAATCGGTGGTTAACTTAGGCATGGTTTATTAAGTAGTGTGGGACATGTGCATGCACAAGATCACGCAGTATGTACTCAAACTTATTGGCAAAAACGTGTTGATCATCCTCACTACTTTTTTTTTTTCTTTTTGAAAAAAAATAAAAATAACAACACTTAAAAATGTCATGTAAAACTTAACAAGAACAACTATGATGATGGTGAGTCATTTAATAATTTATTGTTTTGTAGGGCGGAAATATAAGTGGTTGGATTAGATCCACGTTTCTTTTCAAATATAATCTGATTATTTGCCGTGCAAAACATGTACTGATTTGTAACCATCCAATGGCGATGTGGTATTGATAGCGACCAAATTTGGTGAATTGATTAGTTACATTTAGGCGTAGTATCAACCACTATTTTGTATGATGAAAATTTAATTGGTTCGATCCACAATTTCCCTAAAAGACAATCTGGTTATTTGCCGTGTAATACATGCACTGGTTATAATGATCTAATTAGAATGTAAGTCTATAAGTTGGAATTTGTTTAGATTCTAATGGAATTTTTAAAAAAATATTGCTGATGAGAAGAACTATTAAGAATATCTACAACGGATGCTTACGATTTCTTTAATAGGTTATTGATCTTAATTTTGTGGGTTTTCCAATGCTTCGTAAGCTTCAACACTTTACATCACAAAATTCATTCTAGTGTTAAAGGTTGTTGAAATGAATGTTTGACTTAACGTAGGTTTCCCATAAACACTTTAGATGACCTGACAATACACAAATAAGACCAAATAAAAGCATATCGAATAGCCATGGCTGAATGTGGTGTCACAGAAATGATTTTGGTCTCTTCATCCTTAATTTTGTGTCGGTAAGTATGCTACATACCTTAAAGAAAAATATGAGGTAAAAAAGTGGGGCTGATTAAATTTGTAGCAAGAACAGGGTAGACTCATTTAGTCATTTGGCTACTTAACTGCTGCAAACCGCACTGCATGAAACAAGGGAAACAACAGAACAGGGTGATTTTGATTTTGAAAATTGTTTCTAGCTTTTGAATTGTGATTGAACTTGGTTGCCAGCAAGTGGAAAGTGGTGTAAGGACAGATTCAGAGCAGTGTGTGGAGCTTACTGATTATTCAAGTTTTGTACTATCATCTGATTATTTGCCGTGCAAAACATATACTTATTTGTACTCTTCTATTCATAATTGAAAGTCCAGTGATGGGAAAGAAAACCCCATTGATCTAATCATAATGGGAGTCTACTATTTCTTGACAAGATGGTGTAAATGATTAGAGATCCATTTGGGTAGAAAATCAACCACTCTTTTTGTGCGATGGAAATGTAACTGGTTAGATCACATTTCCCCTCATAAACTATCCACAAATTTGTCGTACAAAACATGTACTCATATACTGATCTTACCAGAATGCAAGATCACTGAATGGAATTCCGTGATGAATTATTTCCTAGTCACTATCAAGCCCTAGCTAGATTCAAGTTATACTCTCACTGTTTCTAGATTCAAATTATACAAGTGATAACATTTACCGTGATGCCAATAACTGATGTGTTCATTTTGTCTTTTAATATTTTATGTCATTGCTGCCAAATATCACTTTTAAAGGATAACATGACATTAATTTCATTATATTTTGTCACAACTTATTTTTATAACAGCATGGAGAGGACAAAAGGACTTCTGATTATCATTTGAATTATATTTTTATTTTTAATGTAAATTGGATTGGATATGAACATCATTTTTGTGAAGTGGGCTCAAGCAGCCCAATTGGACCCTTTTTATTTATGGGAACATAGACTTCATTCAATTTTGACTGTTGTTTAGGCTTTAAATTGGCCCAATATAAATTTGGAAGAGAAGCATAACAAAATATATACGCGTGAAAGGAAAATGTTAATTTAAAAATAAGAGATTTTATTCTATTTATGCTTAATAACAAAAATATATTATATTATTATTTTAATTTATAGAATTAAAATTAAGATATTATTAATATTTTTATATTTTATTTATTCTTTTAATCTATATATAAAATATACAAATAAAATATCATAGATAAGGTCAATCGTATCATATATTTCATCTAAAAATTCATATTCAAAATCCTATTTATCCCAACATATATGATACATTAACGATAGTATATAAATGTATAAGTGTAACTTAAGAAT